TTGAATTTGTTCTTCAGTTCCTTTAGCAGAAGAAATGTCCAGTGAGTTTGTTCCTTTTGATTTTTCAGCTCCAGCTCTTTGCATATTTCATTAAACTACTTTGCTTTGTCTTCCTGTAACTCTGAATATTGCACTAGCATGCCAAGAAGCCAAAGTAAAGGGAAGAAATTAAGAAGTTAAGGAGCTGAACAGAACAAGATCATATGCCAAATACATTTATATTACCAGTAGTTTAATTTCTGTTAGATGCCCTTGAGTTAACTACAACTCCCATCAACCGTCTAAAAAGCAGACCAGTCTTATCTTACCCTGAGCCATCCTCACAATTTCTGCCATGCTATTGTTTCAGTCACTGTCCATCCCTCTCTTTGATCATGTTCTTCTTTTGAAGATCCTTTACCTTTTCAAGCATGATTTCTTTTCCAAGCACTGGTGCCTCCTGACAATGTACCCAACCAAAGTATGTAAAACTTAGTGACAGTCACTTCAGTTTAACACCACTGTAATGTGTTTTTAAGTTTTCCATCACTATCTTCACCACAGTGGATCTTATAACAACCACCTCTATCATCCTCTCTTCTTTAGATGAAGTTCCCACATAGATGCTAAGCTGCAGGAAGTCAGGGTCCTGGTCTACCTAATTCATTCCTAATCTCTCAGAGCTCAGAGCGTTTGAGGGACATCATGGGTAGATACTTAGAATAAAGACTGATTATTAAATAATATTAATATGCTTTCATCACCATTTTTGTCTAATATAGGATGGAAATTGCCTCTCTCTCTGTGAAGATAGATTCATTTGATTATACCATGCTTAGCTGTGTGTTCTTTATGGTTTACCTTCTGACATTTACCTATTAAACAATGACAGATAGCCTATCTGATAGTGTGCTTTCTGAGCTTGGATTTTACTAAGACAACACAGATTGTTGTTGTTGTTGTATTTTGGAGACTAGAAACCAATCCATAATGAACCCTCCAGAGGGTTTTCAGAGGCAGTTCATCACACAGGAGACGATTGCATCTCTTTCTCTTGACAACATATACAAGGCAGAGACATGTACATACTGTGGTAAAAATGAGTGAGTGACAGTTTTCATAACCCATGATGACATCATTCTAAAATAATGAAATGAACCCTTTAACTGATGGTATTTAATAGTTTGAGGAAGGAATGAGAGAATTTGAGCCATGGAAAGAGACTATATGGAGTGTGGAAGCATGAAATTTCTTGTCTTATAGTGAGTGTCAATGTGGGCAAAGCAGTTCAAAGAGAAATGTGTCAACAAACTGCTTTGTGAATATGTAAATCATCAAATTCGTAATAGTCACTCTCATCCTGCTGACATTATCCTTCTGCTGCAGCCCACTGATTTCACTGTGATAATTTTTCTAAAGCTTAAAAGGACATTGTAAATATGAGGATATTTCATTTCATTTAGACCTCCAGTAACTCAAAATAAGTTCCTAATATTAAAAATTCCTCTTCAGTTCATCTCTTAGACATTCAAACAGGAGCACTCTGACTTCTCTACTTAAGGAAGACCAAGGTACAGATTGCAGTTCTGAATTATTTCTTGAACTTCTTCATTATTTACTGAGATTCCTGAAATGCAAACAACCAGCTTCTTATCAGGGAAAGGCAGATCCCTAGAGCCTTTTATCATTTGGCTGCAATTTTGAATATTTCCTCTATAACCAGACAGCATACCAAATGAAGCTAGACTCTTTAAAGGGAAATGAGGCAATTAGAATGTCAATTTTATTTAGTAATATATTGTAAAAACTAAAAAGCATATCCGGCTGATTGACAAAATCCATCCAACTGTTAAAGGCAAAACAAAACTATCTCAAGAGGTAATGTTACACAGATTTTTTTTTAACCTACAGGCAGATAGAGAAAGAAAGAGAGAAGCAGAATTCTACATCTGGAATTGCCCATCACATGGCATGGCAGGACAGAAAGAGACTGAAGGAATCCCAGGGACATCATGTCGTGTGTTCTCTCTTCTTCTTCAATGAGCCTTTTAACTTCTTCCACAGGCTATCTTTTCTCTTCAATTTCTTCTCCATCAGGGAAGGTGTGGATTCTTTCTTGCGAATCTCCCTCACTAAACCATGAAAAGCATCATCAATGCAGAATCTGAGGGCTGCAGACGTCTCAAAGAAAGGACAATTATATTCTTGGGCCAGACTCAAGCCTTCTTCTGTAGAGACCTATGAGAGAAAGAAGTTAGTTTAAAGAAAGAAATTCAGAGGCATTAGAAAAAAAAAATTTACGTCTATATCAGGAAGTTGATGTTGCTGATTTCTGTCGAGTCAAACATGACTCATAGCGACCCTATGAGCAAAAGACCCGAAGCCTTTCTATAACTATTGTCATTTCTCAAATTTCTTAAAGCTTTTTAGATACATAAAAAAACCTGTTAAAATATGGGCATTTTTTTCCAAGGGAAAATCTTGAGAATTTCTGAATAAAGAATAAACAAAAAAAAAAATCAGGTTTTTCTAGACATTCGCTAATTAGCACTGTTAAGAAAAGAAACTACACAATTCTATGGACTTTGAAAGATGCAAAAGTATAACTTGACATTTAAACTACTTATTTTTAAATATCAGCTCTGCAATAACTTTGGTAAGTTTTAAACATTTTATCTCAATTTCTTCTTTTCTGTAATATAGGATAATAGTATCTACCTCAAAGGCTCTGCTATAGTTAAAAGTTTAATTGAACGTGTTAGGCATATATATAAACCCATTGTTGTTAACTCAATTCCAACTTATGGTAACCATTCAACAAGTTTTTCAAGCAGGAAATATTGACTAGAGGAGACTGCCTTTCTGTCTCAATGTCTTTCTATAGAGAAACTAGTATAGTTTCAAGTTTTGACCTTATGGTAAGTAGTCCAAAACTTAACCTCTTGTGCCACCAATGTATGCACGTACACATTTACATGTACACACACACACACACACTTAAACAAAAGCGTATCACGATGGGAAAGTCTGTTGTTAGGGACCTCTCAAAGGTACTCAGGAGCAACAGTGTCTCTCTGGAGACTAAGGTGCGCCTGATACAGGCCATGGTCTTTGCAATCACTTGTTATGCATCAGAGAGTTGGACAATGACTAGGGAGGACAGAAGGAGAGTGGATACTTTTGAGCTGTGGTGCTGGAGAAGGGTACTGAATGTACCATGGACTGCCAGGAAAACAAACAGATTCATCTTGGAGAGGATTAAACCAAGCTACTCCTTGGAGGCAAGGATTCTGGGGCTTCGTGTGACATACTTTGGACATGTTGCCAGGAGGGACGGGTCCTTGGAGAGGGACATCATGCTTGGGAGGGTGGAGGGACAGCGCAGGAGGGGAAGACCCTCTATGAGATGAATTGATTCGGTGACTGGGGTAATCGGGATGGGTGTATCAGAGGCGGTGCGGTTGGCGCAGGATAGAGCAGGGTTTAGGGCTGTTGTGCATAGGGTCGCTATGAGTCGGAAACGACTCAACGGCACATAACAACAACAACAACATATGTGTTAATAGTTCACACAGTAATTTAGGTTGCCACTTGACAATTTTCAAACAAATTGTGTCATTGTTCAATGCCATTGTTAACTTATTACACATTGTGTTAAGGTTCTTTTTAATTATGTTCTGGTTTAGTGCATTTCAAAGTTGACTTTTAATCAAATATACAAAACAAAAATACCAAAACAACAACTTTTGAAAAGCAAACCTGTTTCCAGAAAAGCACTTCAGAAAGAGTTTAAAGATAGGAGTCTGTTATGGTATGTAACCATGGCATGGAATATGCTATTGTAAACTACCTTCTCGGGTCCTGGATTGATTGAAAGCGGGGACCACACCTCTTTTATTATTTCTTCACTGATGAGGCTCCTGTATAGCTCCTGCTGCCCACATCACAAACACAGCTTTTAAAACGTAACATGAATAATTGGCAAAATCACTCAGAGCTCTCTAAGTATCTATTACAATAGAAACTTGAAATGACGTACAGACATTTAAACAGTGCATTATATGTTACTGTAAAAACTAGTCACCATCAAGTGGATTCCAATTTATGAAGGTCTTATGTGTGTCAGAATACGACTGTGCTCCACGAGACTTTTAATGGCTAGTGTTTGAAGAAATAGAATGACAGCCCTTACTCGTGAGGTCCATCTAGGTGGACTTTAATCTCCAACCTGTCAGCTAACAGCTGATTAACCATTTAGATCCTAATAATTCTGGGTTGTGTTTGGAGCTTCTGTGAAGCCTTACATATGCTGAGCTGAGAAAACAGGAAAAGGACCATCTTTATGCAGTGTTTTCTGACAGACTTCTTGCTCCATGTTGTTATGGTTGGTTGCTGTCCAGTTGATTCTGACTTATGGTAACATCTCTTCCTTTTGCTTTTGAAAAGGACTCGTTTGTCTATACAGTTATATGTTCACTTTTGCTGCCATATAGAAGCATATGGTGAAATAGAGACTCCACCAGTTTAGAACTTTGAGTGACTCTAACTATATAATGAGTTGAGCTCCTGGTCCACCCACATTGAATGTGTGGCACAACCAACCAAGACATGTTACTCTTTTGAGCTGCTGGCATAGAGGCATAGTCTCTAAGCAGTTTTTCCTTAATCAATTCACTGTTTCATATAGTTAAAAAAATAGATAGGCTTACATGTAAAACTATATATAATCTCAAATCCTTCATCCCAATTTGTGATAGATTAATTTCACCAGAGATTGGTTTTTAAAAATTTATTATTAATTTCAGTGAAAATTTACAGAGATTTTGGATTTCTATTCATTCATTGTTGCACTTTCTCTTCCCTCCCAATATGCTATCCTCTTGGAAAAGTAAAAGAAAAATTAATCCCTATGCCCAGGTCCACTCCACTATGCAGCCTTCACTCTGGACTCGTGTCATGACAAAGATACCTAATCACATATCCCTTTTAAAAAGTTTTCTCCCCCATCTGTTTCAACGCAGTATACATTATTAAACCCATCTTTCTCAGTCTCCCTCCAATCCCGATGTCAGTCCTGTTTTACAGCACTGGCACCATGTAGTATTTTTCCTTTTGTGACTGAGATACTTCACTCAGCATAATGTCCTCCAGGGTCACCCATTTTGAATAATATTGCATGAGTTCCTTGTTTTTCAAAACAGCATAGTATTCCATTGTATGAATATACCACAGCATCTCTATCCATTCGTTTGTTGATGGGTACTTGGGTTGTTTCCAACTCCTTGCTATTGTGAACAAAGACACAATAAATATGGGTGTGCATATATCTGCTTGGATAGTGGTTATGGTCTCTTTAGGGTATATTCCCAGTAGTGGAATTGCTGAGTCAAATAGTCTATCTACAACTTTTTGAGAAAGCGACATATCGCCTTCACAGTGGTTGCACCATTTTACACTTCCACCAACAGTGAATAAGGATTCCAGTTTCTCCACAACTTGCCAACTTTGTTGCTGTTCTGTTAAATTTTGCTATTCTGACTGGGGTGAGATGATATCTCATAGTTGTTTTGATTTGCCTCCCTCTTAGAGCTAAGGATTTTGAACATTTCTTCATGTGCTTGTTGGCCATCTTCTTTGGTGAAATGTTTGTTCATTATCTTGTGCCCATTTTTCAATTGGATTGTTTGCCTTTATCTTGTTGTGGTGCTCAAGTATTTTATAAATTCTGGATGTAAGTCCCTTATCTGATATGTCATTACCAAATACTTTTTTCCTGTCTGTGGCTTCCCTTTTTACCCTGTTGGAGAAGTTTTTGGATGTACATAGGGATTTGATTCTTAGAAGTGGAAGAATATCCCTTGCTCATGGATAGGAAACCTCAGTATTGTGAAAATGGCAATACTATCAATGACAATTTACATGTTTAATGCAATTTTAATACAAATACCAATCCCATCCTTGAATGAGATGGAAAAGGGAATCTCCAGTTTCATTTGGAATGGAAAGAAGCCCCAAATAAGCAAAGCACTCCTTAAAAATAGAAGAAAGGTAGGAGGCATCTCACTCCCTGATTTAAAATCCTGCTATACTGCCTTGGTGGTTAAGACAGCATGGTACTGGTACAATGACAGACACATAGATCAATGGAATTGAATTGAGAAACTGGAAATCAGCCCATCTATCTATGATCAACTGATTTTTGACAAGGAAATGAAATCAGTGAAGTGGGGAAACGACAGCCTTTTAAACAAATGGTATTGGCAAAACTGGAAAAGTATCTACAAAAGACTCAAGCAAGATCCACACCTCACTCCATATACAAAACCAACTCAAGGTGGATCATGGACCTAGGACTAAAACCAAGGACTATAATCTCCATTAAAGAAAAGCTTGGAAGAACGCTAAAATTCCTAATCCACAATATAAACAGTGTTCCAAGTATCCTGAAAAACCTACAACCAGAGATTGTTAAAGAGATATGTCACTCTCATATTTTTACTCTTTAAGACACAGACTGTCTGGGTTCTCCTGCTTTGTCTTTCATCCCTCCTGGCAAACAGATCTTGCCTTTTTTGGAGCTCATTTCTGTCATGTACTGACTTAAAATGTGTTGCTAAATGCAACGCACTAAACCAATTAAAATCCTGTTTTACAATAATTGAACAAAGTCATACGTTTATTAAATTCCATGTGTAGTTCCAAAGTTAACACAGGTGATAATCTTAGAAAATGTTTTGACGAAGCATAAAATGAGTTTCCATTTTTCAGTTTCTTGAAACCATTTTCCCTGCCAATGCCACATATTTGAGGTTTTCTATAGCAATGTTAAATTTCTGGTACCATTTTCTATAGTAACCCACTCTCATTCTATTATACTTTATTTTTAAGAACTGCTTCAAAGATACGATGACGTTGGAAAAAAATGTGTAATTCTTGTTTGCACTGTCTGTAAGCAGTTGAGAGACCGTTTGTGATAATTTTGCTCCAGGCTGGTGCTGAGTTCAAGTTTATACTTCTTATCTGCTACTCCTAGGGCTTCAGATGAAAGAGTACCTCTTTTTAAGGAAATTATGATTCTGTGAAAAAGGACAAGATGACACAAGAATGAGTGATTTTTGTCCACATTCCATTGATTAAACTAAGCTATGTGAAGAAATATAAAAAAAACAAAGAAGCAGGAACATGGCAAGACTAGAAAGAAAATGAGGAGAGAAAATGAATTTTAAAGGAAGTTTAAA